CTCCCATCATCCTAGGAAGGGCCATGTTGGCTAGGGATGATGGGATATCCAGTCCCACCCATCTGGAGGGCACCAGTGTGGGGAGGGCTGGTCTATTTGGAGAGTCTGGGCTTTGAGCCGGGTCCACCCATCCCAAGGCTGGTGATCCTCTGTGTTGGGGGGACAGTTAGCCTCCCTTCCGTGCGGGACCAGTTTCCAAGGTGGGACGGAGCCCCAGCTGCAAAATGGGCCCCTGAGCATTTACTCCCTTCCAGCAGAAAGATGTTGTTGGCTGCCCCTTGCATGCATGCGTGGACACAGAAACACATGCATACGTACACAACGCAAGTTTGGCAAGGCGTCTGCTGAACATGTTCATGTCCTTAAAGACTACAGTACCATGTTTATTAAGGCATCTCCTCTGACGCTGTGGTTGCTGGGAAGAACCAGGTGTATCTTTCTGCAAACCAACAGGCCTTGGTTGAGTTTCTTCTCTGCAGGGTAGGGGTCCAAATATTCTCCTTCCGTTCCTCTCACAACAGCCCTCTATGGTAGGCCAGCTGGGTAACAGCGGCGAAAGCCTTCCCCTGGACAAAAGAGCCAAGAAAGAGGTCACTCCTCCGTCCAGTGCTGGAGAGTTTCCCATCGGCCGTGGCTGTGGCTGCATCCCCTTCCCTCTCTCTGCCACCCCATGAAAGAACCCTTTGAGTCAGGCTCTCTGACTGTGAGAGAGACATAGAGAGAGAGCCTTTATTTTGGGACGTTGTAAATTTAGTTTACTGAAATCACAAGAAGTATTGGGCTCTTTTGGGACACAGCTAAACCGGCTGCCTTCTTTTTCCTCCCCACCTCCCAGCTGAAGATTTTGTCATCTTGCTTAGCTTTCGACAATGTCAGCCAAGTTGGCACATCAACTAATTACACTTCTCCAATTACATGCTAGAGTCACGTGCCCAGCAGAGAGAGAGAGAGAGAGAGAGACTCTCCCAGGGCTGCTTCCTCTCAACTTGCTTGTTTGAGGTCAGTGCAAATGAATATCACACAATGATGGAAAGACTATTTCAACATTGCAAAACTCTCAATGGGTTTGCAAGACTGCAGTTCCTGGCTTCATCTGCCAAAAGTGCCCAAGCACAGCCTTTATTTTGGGAAATTGTAAGTTTAGTTTCCTCAGACAAGGGGAATTGTTGGGCTCTTTTTGGACACACCTGAACTTCTTTTTCCTCCCCACCTCCCAGTCGAAGATTTTGTCATTCTTGGTTCGCTTTCTGCAGGGTCAGCTTCCAGACCTGTTGGCACTACAAAACTCCCAGAAAATTCAAGCTCCTCGTTTTGTGGTTGCTCCTTTTTTACCCCTTTTCCAGCCAAATGATCCCCTTTCTTGCCCAACGGGGAACCCAGAACCACCTGCAGATCTTCCTTCTTGCCTTTCAACCGTGGCTGCTTAGACCTTGTCTTGTGGGTCCAACATTTCTACTGAAGGGTGGTGTGGAAATCGACTGGGAGCCTTATGTGAATTTTTTACTGGAAGAAGAAAGGACAGAACTGATGATTGATGGATTTGGGGATTGGGAAGAGTTAAAGAGGGAGGGGAATGAAGCTCAATGATAATGAAGCTCAAGCTCAGATATTTTGGCCACCTAATGCGAAGAGAGATCTCTTTGGAGAAGACTCTGATGCTGGGTAAGATTGAAGGCAAAAGGACATAAGGCTCCCAGTCGATTTCCACACCACCCTTCAGTAGAAATGTTGGACCCACAAGACAAGGTCTAACTCCTTTTGCCTTCAATCTTACCCAGCATCAGAGTCTTCTCCAAAGAGATCTCTCTTCGCATTAGGTGACCAAAGTATCTGAGCTTGAGCTTCATTATCATTGAGCTTCATTCCCCTCCCTCTTTAACTCTTCCCAATCCCCAAATCCATCAATCATCAGTTCTGTCCTTTGTCACGAAGAGTCGGACACGACTTAACGACTAAACAACAACAACAACAACAAAGAGGGAGGGGAAAAAGCAAGTTGGCAATTACTCCATAGAAAGAAGAGTGGAAGTCAAAATTCTGTGCATGCTTTCTTTTTTTCACCTCTTTTCTTTTTCTTGTATTTTTTCTTTTTCTTATTTTTCTGTTTAATTTTCAGTGAAAGGGTCCTGTTGATTCAAGTGTCCTCTGGGGGACCTAGGAAGTCTGCCTTTTCTGTAACACCACCTGCCCTCCAAAACACCGTTCCCCCCGAAATTCTGCTGGCCTCTCGTAAAGACGTGGCTTTCCTTTCCGGCACGGGAGTCGGGAGATAGTTCAGCCTGTGAGTTGTATGAATTTGGGGCTGACTGGTTTATCCTCAGTGCCCATTTTTATTTTGTGTGTTGTATTTATTGAATCTTGTTATTGTATCTATGTTTTTATTGTGTTGGCTGCCCAGAGTCACTCATGTGAAATGGGCAGTCATGGAAATGTAATAAATGAAATTTTAAGAGCTTTGAATCAGTAGCTCAAATACCGATTGAATTCCCACAAAATGCTTTGAAGTCTGCTTTTTAGGCTGTCAAAGACGGCCAGCTCTTGAGGGCATCTGGGAAGCCCAAGGGAATGGGGATGAAAGACCCACCCTTGTCACTCCTCCTTGCCCAAAAAGCATCCACCATGGTGTGAGGGATGTCTTTCCCATAAATCAAGGGTCTCCCCACTTTTGGGCCCCAGCGTCATCTTGGGCATTTGAAGAGCACAGAGTGGGATCTCTCAGAAACAGGAGAGCAGGAGAATCTGCCCTTTCCCAAGGAGACCGGGATGGCTGGGCCGGTCATTGCACTCCTCTTCCCCAGCGTGGAAGTTGATGAGGCTCAAGGACCAGTCACTTGCCAATAAAAGAGAATATCTGTAGCTCAGGGTTGAACTGTGGAATATTGTGTATTAGAGTGTGTTGTGTAGTACTGCTGACTTGGCTCACACTGACATACATCAGAAACATCTCAGAAACAAGCAACAGACTGTTACAACCACACAACATCTCTGTAGCACACAAACCAACCAAACCCCTCCAAAACTTCTTAAGCAAACCAAAAGACCCAGTAGCCCAAGAAGAGAAAACAGGAGTCATCTACAACATACAGTGTAAGGAATGCAACAACCACTATCTATCTATCTATCTATCTATCTATCTATCTATCTATCTATCTATCTATCTATCTAATAGACTTGTCCCTGCCCATCTCCCCACAATGGGGGACTATGTAGGACAGACGGACAGAAGGCTGGCAGAGCGCATCCATGGACACCAACTAGCAGTCAGAAGACAAGATTAAAACTCCTTAATCTCACGACACATGGACAGACTCAACCATAGCTTCAGCTGGGAAACTGTCAGCATCTTGGACCAAGC